ATGAGAATGAGGAAGATATTTAACAATGCCCTGGCTGGTCACTGCTGGTAGCCATGAGAATGAGGAAGATATTTAACAATCACAGCCTTAGTTTTCTCAACTACCAAGTTGAGAATCATGACATTGCCTTTGGCTTACAAATATGTCTGATGCTAAGTAAGAACTAATGAAATACCAACCACTATTAGTATCAGTCTATAATTACTTGAAGCTTGTGATCAAAAGGTAGCTTGAATTGTTTAAGTCAAAATAGGGTATAGCCGGGCGGTGGTGGCGCACACCTTTAATCCCAGCACTCGGGAGGCAGAGCCAGGCGGATCTCTGTGAGTTCAAGGCCAGCCTGGGCTACCAAGTGAGTTCCAGGAAAGGCGCAAAGCTACACAGAGAAACCCTGTCTTGAAAAACCAAAAAAAAAAAAAAAAAAAAAATAGGGTATAATCACAGAAAAATGGAAGCTATTTAACTAGTTTGAAAGTCAGTGTCAAAACAAAGAGTTACACTTTCTTTCCAAAGAGAGGACAATGAGTCAATGAAGACATCTGTATTTAATGGGCTGTTTTTGGATCAACCAAAAAATGTAGCAATCCAGCATTTCAAGCAATATGGAAGTTCCTGCTAGCTCTGTCCTGCTGCCTTTAACTACTCCTTCCTATGTGCCGCATTCAAATAGTACATCTTACAAAACAGAAAATTTATTTCTAAATTGGTTTTTAAATGGCTAAACAACAGCACCCAGCAATATAGCACCTGAACATTTTTATTTGGTATTAAAAAATAAAAATAAATGTGGAACATATTTATTTAGTAGGGTTTATCAGTATGCATATAAATGAATTTGTGAATAGAATATTAAATACGCTAGGTTATTCTAATAAACTGTTTTGAGTACTAAGTAGAAGGTCTTGTTAACTGCACATTTAATAACTGAAAGTTCACCCACAACCCTTCATAAGATATGAGGAAGTTCGTCACTGTGAAACAGGACAGCAAGGAGACAAACCATCAGAGAAAGCAAATGCATATGACCAGAAGCACAAGGGGTCCTGAGCTCATCACATGCTGCCATATACATTTCCCTAGAACTACACCAAACACAGCAATTAGCACTTAAAAGAGAAGGCCAGAAAAACACGGTGGAAGCATTGGTTAAATATGAATGGGATATTTGATGCTTTCACACAGCCTACTGATAAGACAGTAGGTGAACATTTAAACCCAGAACAAAAGAAGGAGATATATATATATATATATATATATATATATATATATATATGTGTGTGTGTGTGTGTGTGTGTGTGTGTGTGTGTGTATACAAGGACATAAACTTTAAAAACCTGAATAAAATAGTTTAAAAATGGCATCTTTTCTGTATTCTGTAACACACATACATGTACATATACATACATACATATATACATACACACACACACACACACACACACACACACACACACACACACATATATATATATATATATATAGAGAGAGAGAGAGAGAGAGAGAGACAATCACGAAATTAAACTAGAAAGGAGACCATAGCAATACGGTTGCATAAACAAGACCTAATAACAAAACACCACTTGACATGTCAACATGGATAAGGGAAGTTTCACAAAGTCCCACCTGTAGATGAGTAGCTAGAGGTAATTTATTGTTGCTGAGAGAGAAAATCAGTTTCTCCAGGAATGAGCCCCTGATAGGTCATCTAACCCCAACTACTTGGCCTTAAACACATGGACATATGAGCAACACTAAATGAACAAAACGATTGTGTATATGCACACATACATATGTATATATACATGTAACAATAATAATCAAAGAAGAGAGAAGTCATGAATTTGAGAGTGAGACAGAAATGATGTATGTACAGTACTCATGGCTTAAATCTTCAAAATATAACACATTTTCATTAAAAAGTAATAGAATATGTGTGATATGAAAGCAGAAGGAAAAACTATTGGCTAGAAAGATGGATGCAGGACAGTAGTGAGGGAGGGGAACAAGTAAGAATGAAGTATATATGAACATGCTGTAATTAAATCCATTACTTTACATATTATCTTAAAAATATAAAAAAATCAGCATGTTGGTTGTGATAGAGACTACAAGGACATAAACTTCTAAAACCTGAATAAAATAGTTTAAAATAGCATCTTTTCTGTATTCTGTAACACACACACACACACACACACACACACACACACACACACATCAAATGGCTTTTAAAACAAAACTTTAGACGTATCATATTTGCAACAAAGGGCAGTATATCTACAGCATTTACTGTACCATTCAGATCATAGCAAGGCTACAGCAGCTACATCTATGAACCTTTTAAGCTTGTGTGCAAACTAAGATGGCCAAGTGAACTGTGAGTATATCTGGCAATGCAATCATACATGAGAAACACTTGCTCTTTGTACTGGTGACAAAATAATCAAATAGAGACATGTGTCACTGACCCTGCGTATCTAAAAGCTCCCTTCTGAGGAAAGAAACAAGTTTCTACTGGGTAGAAGCTATAAATGCATAACTGTTCTGTCTAAATATACCAAAGACAAAAATTATTCTAATCAGAGCATGCACCAAATACTGAATCACATGTCTTGAACATTTACTGTTTCTCACACACAGAGCAAAAGCTTCTTAGCAGTCACTACAATGTCAGGCTTAATTCATCCTGCCAAGCTAGCTAGAGAGGACGTTAGGATGATGGGATAGATGTCCTCTAAAATTCCCTTACATTATATTATGTTCCTGCAAAAAACACGAAGTAAAATGTACCATCTCAAACCACTAACTTTATAGTTGCATGCTTACTGCATATCAGTATTTCATAAATATTTATTAATTAAAACATATTGCTGTTATAAATAACATATCCAAGGCAAAGTTCTTGTTTGGTATAAACTACCTAATTATAAAATTCTACCTTACTGGAAAATAAAATATAATTTATAATGATTATTTTTCTTTCTTTGTTCTGCTTTTCTTTTCTTTTCTTTTTTTTTTTTGTTGTTTTTGAAACAGGGTCTCTTATAGCCTAAGCTGATCTCAAACCAATTATGAAGCCCAAGCTAGACCTAAACTCCTGATCCTCCTGCCTCTATTTCAAATTCCTGGGATTTACAGATGTGTACCATGATACCTGTCAACTGCTTTATTGTCTGATGCAATTTCAATATTACCTAACAACAAAAGCAAACTGTCGATAAAGAAGAGTACAGCAAGCTCTGCTTCCAATGAAGATCACGTTAGACAACTGGGCCTTGCCATTGTTGTACAGGCCAGGAGGGACAAGTCACATAACTAGAGGTGGAATGAGAGGAAGTAAGGACTTCTGGGAGAGATGAAAAGCTACAGAGGGATGGTAAAGGTGATGGCACATGCAATACACACAAATAATCGGCCTTAACATTTATTTTTTACTTCTTCTCATTGAGGCTTAAAGAGCTACAAAGAAATTAACTTCACCTTTGTCTCCTGGGAACACACAATCCAGACACAACAGATCTGAAGTTGAAATATTATCTACACTAATCGAAACAAAATATATATTAAGCCATTTGTTGAATATACAGAGTCAAATACCCTCTCTCCTAGTACAAGTAAATATGGAAATAATTTACTTTAATGTTGTCAAAAATATATCAGGACTAGAATAAGTCTAATATGAGCATGTTAAAACAAAGTCAAAATTGCTGGACCATTCCCAAAGGCACACTATCTTTCAACTTCTGAGTCAAGTGTTTTGCACTAAAATAAAGTTTTGTTAATGGGTTAAATTTATGAGTTATCTTGCTTAAGTCATCTCCTTCAAGATCATTCATATAGACATCACAAAATCATTTTCAACCCCAAAGGCTTTTTGTAAATTTACATTAGAATAAACTCAATACACATTGGAAGACCAGATATACAACTTATCAATTCCAGTTGCCTAAAATTATTGCTTTTAAACAGGGCATGGTGGTACATGCCTACAGTCCCAAAACTCAGGCACTTGAGACAAGAGAATTGTACTTTGTTCAAGGATAGCTTGATCTAAATCATAAATACTAACCCACCTAGGGCTACTTAGCAAGACTCTTGCCTCAGAAAGCATACAAAATTTTTGTAATTATTATTTTTTATTATTTGCAACAAAACTTCACACATAGAAAAATTTACTATAAACCTAAAGTGTCAGCTTGAAAACTGATTTGAACTTTATGAAATCTTTGTTTTTCTTATGTTTGTTCGTCTGTGGATATATGCATGTGCTGTGTGCTGACCCAAGACACACTAAGCAACTCCTCTATCAGGGATCTAGATCCACAGCCCTAGATAGTTTTTATGAGGATTTTTCAAACTTGTAATGTTTTTGCTTCCTATCAACGATTTTGATAATATCAGTCCCAAATTCAATCAAATCAATAATGTAAGGAAATAAATAAATGTATTAGTCCAGTTCTCTTATTTCATTACATTGTCACATCCTTAACTTTCATAGGTCTAATCTTCCTTGTCTCATAACTATATTAGTCTCAAATTTTGACCCACTCTTTTAAACTTTTTAATATTTTATATGCCAGTCATCAAAACATTTCACTTGGATTACAGATTACAAAATAAATGTGGGTTCTAATTCTTGAACTGGTAGGGTAAAAACAGGAAATGCCATCTTTTTCTCAATCTAAAGAGATCAACTAAGGCCACACATTAATTTTGGGATGTGGTTTGTTTATCTCAAAAAAGATGGGGCAATGTGGACAATGTCATGAGGATAGCCTACTGCCCACCCACTTCCTTTCACTCTTGAACCGAATTCCAGGTACTGAATCAATCAAAGCCATTAGGAACACGAACACAGAACTTTTAATACCAGACTCTAAAGTTATCAGATGTGTAAGCACTGGGATTGATGTCGCTCATCATTTTAAATATTTCAGTAAAGAATTAGAGAGAAAAATTACAACTAAATATTGGTAAGAAAAGACTTAATTGGTCTCACTTACCACTTTGGGATTTTGAAAACCATTGCAGATTCCAGTCTACATTCCTCTGATAAAAATCTCTGAATAAAAAAGAAACAGGAGGCTGTCTTTTGGTGAACTTTAGGTGCAAAATTACTTCAAATTCATTTTCTAAAATACCATTTAAATGAAAAAAATTAAATATACAAGGTATATCCCTGAAAATCTTTAGCACAACAATTGCCTCAAATATTGGAAAGAATAATAAACATCAACAAATCAGAAATTCTAATACATAACTGAATGTCTTATCAATTGAGAAAGAAATTCTATATTCAGGTTTCATAATACAGAAGCAGAAGGTAGAAGCAATTTTTATACTCTGCAATTCATTTCTCATCTATAACTGGCATAGCTTCAAATATATACATATAGACACACACATTTATATATTGAATTTAGGCTGAATTTACCATGAACTTATACCATAAAAGAGATTTTAGGATAAACTTAACATAAAAATTACATGTAATGATCAGACTTTAAAGGCTTATTTTATGGAGTGATAGCCTTAGTCACAAACAGTGGTCCACGCCTGTTATCACAACATCTGGGTGATAAGAGATAAGAAAATCACCAAAAATTTTAATTCACTGGGCTACAGAGCAAGAACTTGCTTCAACAACAATAATAAATTATAATTTATAATATGGTTATATAAACTAGCAATATGCTCCCATAAGAAAACTTTTTAAAATGATACTCTATTGCCTATCAAAAACAAATAAAATAAAAACATAGTGAGATCAAACAGTAAAGAGCCATGAGATCCAAAGCAACTTCCATTTTATATCTACATGGTTCTGTATGGTTTATCTGATGGGTGCTTCCTATAATCTGAACTATAAAATTATTCTTAAATGAACCAACACATGCAGTATTTTTAAATACATAAATTAGAGAGAGTTGGTAGCTTCTTCATTGATACTTTAAAGTCCCTTACTATTTTCTTCAAGCTGGGCAAGGTGGCACATATCTTTAATCCCAGTACTTAATATAAATTTGAGGCCACCCTACTCTACATACATAGTTCCAGGCCAGCCAAGGCTATATAGTGAGACCTTGTCTCAAAATATTGTTTTCTTCATTATCATTGTAATGGTTATTAGCTATTTTTGGAAGTTTAATATTTTATATATATATATATATAGTCAAGTTATACTCAGGGCTTGCTAGGCTTGACATTTTCTTACTTACTTAAAATGGTACATTTTCAACCTAACTATTTTATATTCCCCGTATGTTCCTCTCTTGCTATAACTTCAATTATTATACATAACTGCAAAACTTCAGATGTATCTATTCAGTTCCCTGAATCAGTCACTGCTCATTTCCTGCAAGCTTTTATCCCTACATTCTTCAGAAGGATGTATATGAAATCAGCTTTTCCTTAATATCTTATTGGAGGTGGTAAAACAAAAACATTTTGATTATTGCTCATTCTAGTTAGAATTTTTTCACTTATTTTAATTATTTCATTTTTACACCTATGATTTTCTACCTGCTCCTTTATTAATATCACAATTACCCTATTGTGTGCTTGAATGTTTTTGGCTTTAAGTCTTTGCATAGGTGTCTGCACATGAACTTTTGTCCACTAAGATCAACATCAATGCCATGTCGATCTTCACTTCTATTTACTTTTTCTCTTACCAAAGGCTACACTTTCCTTTGACATCTCTAGAATAGTTTTTTTTTTTAAATCATAGATTGAACATTGTAGTAATAAAATGTAGGTAACTTAAATTCGATTTATGTTCCTTTAGAGAGTAACAGTCTTTGCTCTCAACCAGTAAAATCATCAGCTAAACAATTAGAACTGATTTGTATGTTGCTGGGATGGGTTTGAGAAAGGTCCAGTGTATTTATCAAACTCTTCCAGTTTGGCAGGTTAAAATCTATCTCTCCTCCAAATTTTGTTGATACCTAGTTTAAATTTTCTTAGGGTAAAGAGAAAGTGAGCTGTACACCAGGATGCTGCTGTGGTTTGAATGGATGGCCTACAAATTTCAGAGCTGAAAATGGTAAAAGGCAATATGATGGGATTAATAGGCAACCAACTGATGAGGACTCTCATGATTCTGATTATGGACTTTATGAGAATGGATTCATAAATAAGGAAGGTCCCTGCTATCTTCTGCCATGTGAAGATACAGAATCCTTCTCCTCCAGAAGTAGGAGCATTCAAGGTACCATCTTGTGGGTAAGAATAGACTTAACCAGACAACTGAATCAGATGGTACCTACATCTCAGACTTTTCAGAAAACACAACTTTATTTAAATAAAATTCAGTTCCTTATGAATTTTAGCCTTGGGTATTTTCTTATAGTAGCAAAAACAGACTAAGGCAGGGGTCCTTGCAATAAAATTATGAAAAACATGACTCTCAACTGGATTGCTAGAATGTTACAAATATCCTCTCTATGGTGCTTGGTACAGAGCTTCAAAGTCCATTAGGAACTTTCAACACAGATGTAACCATTCTCAGAGCCCTAGAAGATTCTCCAGTAAGATCATCCAATCTCAATGGCACACATGCAGACCAACACTCAGTCAAAGAATTCAAGCAAACACCTGTGAGAATTCAGAACCTGGTTTTGTGTATCTCTTTTTTTCCACATTCTTACTCCAGACTTCAGCCCTCTTCAGAGCTCTAATATCTGATCTCTGCCTTCTCAGCTAGAAGACTCCACAGTTTCTGCTACCATGCTCAGTCCTTGTCACACAGTCAGGACATTGATGTTAAACAGAAAACCAGAGTAAATGTGAGGTTTTCTTACAAATGTCTTCCTATACAACTTCCTGTCCAACTCTTGAAGAAGGTACCTCAAAATTAGGACAATTTGAAATTCTGTGGCAAGGGGATTCCAATACCAGTAACAGAAATTATTCTCCACACTGCTTTAAACTGTCCTTTTTCTTGTTATTTCAATTCATAGCTCTCTTCTCTCCTAGTACCCAGTTTGGATATTTTGAATCTGGGTTAAATACATATAAAATGCTTTTTTAAAACTGTATATTAGCTGGGCATGGCATTGCAAGCCTTATCCTAACATTCAGAAGCCAGAGGAGAGAGCATTTCTGGTTCCAGGGCCAGCCTTGCTATATGTTCAGATCCAAGGTTATAAAACAAAAACAAAAATAAACCCAAAATCTTAAAACTTTAAATATCATCATCATGATGATGAAAATTTTTATTGTAAGTCGTGTAGTTTCTAACATGAATAGAACTGTCTTCAATAGAACTTTCAGCATGTCAGTGCTGACAGAACTTTTCATAACCCAGAAGACATACGTAAAATACCATCAGAGGCTTCTGCCCATCTGCCTTCACATCCTTCCTTCTTGAACTCTACCTTCCTATTTTTCATTCAAGTCAAACGAAAATAGATAATTCAATTTTTCAGAATTCTCCTCTTGCCAATTCTAGCATCGATTTGTTCTCTTGTTAAGTATAAATGTCTTTATATTTATATTTAAAATTTATAGAAACCTCTCTCTCTCCAGGGAATCATGAGAGATTTAAATGAGAAATTAGTATAAAGATAAGCACCTTTATATTTTAAAAACATTTTCATAAAATTGATAATCTCGCAAATAAAAACATATTTGCTGAGCATAGATTTCTCAACTGACAGATATTAGATATACTAATTCAAACAAATGCTTAGACATACCTAAGGCCTAGGGCATAGGGCCTAGGACCATAGTTGTTTTACGGGTCCATAACACCTTCTAAATTATCTTAAAGTGTGAAGAATAATTGAAAATTAAGTATTACATCTGATGTTAATAATACACCATCAAAGCCATAAAACCTAATTATGTGTTTGTAGTCTGCATAGGTAGATACAATTGGTAAGTGTTCTCAGAGTTACTAGGAACCTCACGCTTTCACTATACCTGGCTGATTCTAGAATATGAGACCCCAGGAATTTCCCACTAGGAGAGGTAGGCATTCTTTCCTATAGGTACTATCCAAGAAAACAATCTACCCTTAATGCTTCACATGTGTGTGCATGCATGCGCATGTGCACACACACACACACACACACACACACACACACACACACTTTTTGTACTCACAGAAACTTCATTCACTTTTGAAGTACTCATGTGAGCCAACATTTGGAAAATATTGGGCAAGCAGTACTCTGGGTAACCATACATCTCCAGATGCTTTCACTGAACTTGTTATCTCGGAGTCCTCAATCTGTTTGAAGCAGTCTAGAAAGCCACAAGTTCCTGTCTAGGTGACAGCTTCCAACCACAGCCACATGCAGAGAGAAGATATAATCACTCTGAAAACCCACAAAGTTCCCAACCTTAGCTGAATTAGATTTTTAGATCTTTTCGGGTTCTCTTAATTATTTATCATTCTATGTTGCTCAAAGAGGGATTTCTTAGCTTCAAATCACCACAGCTTCTTAAAAAGAAAAATACTCAGTGTTTTAAATGACCAATAATTTTTTTTTACAAAGGAACATTGAGACAACAATGTTTACAACCACATCAAAGAAAAAAGTGATCTGATGTAAGCTTGAAATGTTGCAAGGATTGTACGCCTCTAACCATGAACCACCTATAAATCTACGCCCTTGCTTATGTACAATGTAGTCAGTTTAATCAGAAGTACTATGTCTTCATTCCAGCTCCACTCCTGCTACACTCTCATTGGCCAATGACTTTGCCTAAGTTTAGTCTCCTAGGGACACATATAAGTAAATAGATAAGCCACTGCAATTCACAAAAGACAATTACCATATTAAATGACAAAGTAGCCTGAGAAGAACTGGGATATTTTAAAAAATAAAATAAATTATTTCAATGTGGGAGCAGACACTTACAGTGCCAGTTAATTGATTGGGTGGGACAGGAAAATTGTTTGACTACATGAGTTTGATGCTACCAGACTAGGAAATATAGTGAGAAACTGTCTATAAAAATTTTTTTCTTTAAAAATAAGCAAGATAAGTATATATTATTTCCATTTTTTATTTCATTATGATAGTCATAATATTCTTAAATTTCATAAGCTTG